TAGATAACAACCTATTCTTAGACGTACTGAATATACATATAAAATTTTATCAAAATCGGTTAAGCCGTTTCGGAGATGGTAACAAAAACTTAAAAACAACCCCTATTAAAAAATAGGGATGATGGTAGAACGGTGAAAATTTAGGGTTGTTTGTATTTTTAATGCCAAATAAAAATTAAAATTTTTTTTTCAAAAATAAAAAAATGGTGGTGGGCTACCCTTATCACTTAAGGGTATAAAAATAGATAACAACGTATTCTCAGACCTACTGAATATACATATAAAATTTCATCAAAATCGATCAAGCCGTTTCGGAGATGCTAACAAAAAATTTAAAAAAAACATCCCCTATTAAAAATAGGGGATGATGGTAGAACGGTGAAAATTTAGGGTTGTTTGTATTTTTTAATGCCAAATAAAAAAAATTAAAATATTTTTTTTCCAAAAAATAAGAAAAATGGGGGTGGGCTACCCTTATCACTTAAGGGTATAAAAAATATATAACAACCTATTTTCAGACCTACTCAATATACATATAAAATTTCATCAAAATCGGCCAAGCCGTTTAGGAGATGGCAACAAAAAAAATATAAAAACAACCCCTATTAAAAATAAGGGATGATAGCAGAACGGTGAAAATTTAGGGTTGTTTGTATTTCTTAATGCCAAATAAAAAAATAAAAACATTTTTTTCTTTTCAAAAACTAAAAAAAATGAGGGTGGGCTACCCTCTCGGCACCCTTATCAGTTAAGGGTATAAAAATAGATAACAACCTATTCTTAGACGTACTGAATATACATATAAAATTTTATCAAAATCGGTCAACCCGTTTCGGAGATGATAACAAAAAATGAAAAAAACAACCCCTATTAAAAAATAGGGGATGAAGGTAGAACGGTGAAAATTTAGTGTTGTTTGTATTTTTTAATGCTAAATAAAAAAAAATAATTTTTTTTTCACAAAATAAAAAAATTGGGGTGGACTACCCTTATCACTTAAGGGTATAAAAAATATATAACTACCTATTCTCAGACCTACTGAATATACATATAAAATTTCATCAAAATCGGTTAAGCCGTTTCGGAGGAGTATGGTAACCAAAACCACCCAAAACTGTAACACGGGAATTATACATATAGATAATATATGAAAACTGCGGAGTGCGGAGTGCGGAGAGCGGAGAGCGGAAAGACTGATTATAGCAATAGATGAAATTTAAAACTATAATTTAAAACTATTCAAGAAAGTACACACAAAACAAGGCAACGCCGCGCGTCTGTTCGTTCAATTCCGAGCAAAATAGCGAGGCCCCACGAAGTTGGGGCCTCGCTCGCCAAAGCGAGGCCCCATCGACAGGTCAGATTTTGATGCGAGACGAGACTTCTAGGGTATTAAGATATTCTTTGTTATAGCTTAAATTTTTTTGTTTCAATTAATAATAATAACTGAATATAAGTTGGTAGGTTGTAAAAACTATACTGGTTTTTCTGGGTTACTAATAAATTTAACCTGCAGGTCGGTTTAAGAATTCTAATATGTATGTTTTATAGTAAATACTGTTCGAATGGATTTTTATCAAACTATAGTGAGTGCTAACTGCTAACAGAAGTATGGTTTACAGTTTTCTTAAAAACAATAAGAGGACATTGCGTTTAATACTTTCGTGGATATTGGATATCCTATACTATTGGATTAGTTCCAAAGAATGTCTCATTTTTAATTGATATCCGGTTCAAAATCAATTTTAATAGTTCTAAAACATTGATGTTTTTTGTACTTTTATCACTTTGCCAAAGTTATTATATTTCGCATACACAGAAAAAATTGTTAATGTACAAAATTAAAAAAAAACAAGTAAAAAATAAATGTTTAGTAATTTCTAATGTTTATTTTATGTTCTTTTTTTATTTGCTATTTATTGGCAGCAAATTTAAAAATTTTTAAAAAGTTTCTCTTATAGCAAAATATTAACGAAGTAAGATACTTATGTCCTAAAATTTCAGTAACTACTAATAACTGAACCTTTTTGTATGCAGGTTAATGTGTAAAAATATAAACCTAATTCTGTTCTCAATAGGGAGTTTTCGTTGCTTACAAATTGCAATTCCGGTTAACGCTAATTGACAACTTTGACATTTCAATTTCGATTATCGCATATCGTAACCGCTAGCTGCCGATATTTTACGGACGTTAGCCAAAGCCGTTAACATAGCGGTACGCATGCGCACTAGCGCAGTAGAAACACAACATTGAAAAATACAGATCTAACCTAACCTCATTCTATTTTGTTTATGTTTTGATTATTTATTTTATCTGTGTTAAACTCGTTGGGAATTCTTAGTGCTTCAACTAATCGAGGAATGTCTTTTTTTTCAAAGCGGAAGTTAGCTTTGCACTCTTGGTCAGATAATATTTCTAGGTTGAACTCCCCATAAAGTTCTGCTCGATATTCGATGTTGTTTTCAAACCCTTCCAACAGCATAGCATCCTCCAAATCCGATTCATCACTAGAGTCCAATAAAATTAAATTGTCCATCCTATATAGCGATACCCAATAAAGTCATATAAAGCACTTTCAAATCAAACAACATAACAAAAACCAAAAATCAAAACACTACGCTACGGGCTGTGCTCAGCTGTCAGTTTTCGGTTATCGTATCGTATGTCGGCTCCGAACCGATGAACCGAAAGTCCGAAAACTGTTTTTTTATCTGTCAAAATAGCGGTTATGGTTACGTATCCGTTAACCGTACCGTTGAATTTTTTTAAAGCAACGAAAACTCCCTAATATCTCCGATTTATAGTTCATGTGTAGTTCAGACAGTGTTGCCAGATAAAAATTTGCAAATCCCTTAGATCATTGCCTTCAAAGTTCTCTAGACTCCCTTAATTTATTACAACTACAAGTAAGTACTGCAGTATTGTCAATAGTATCCATTGAGTTCCTTAGTTAGAACTTTTGTTTATATCTCACACAAATAAAAGAAACAATTTAGAAATATTAATATTATTCAAAACTATTACAGAGTTACACATAGTTTTTTAGAGATTTTAGCACGATGCTATGGTCCGTTATTTTAATCGCGATACGAAGTGAACGAAGTCTGTGGGAGTCTTTCAGGAATTAATATTTTTTTTATTTGGAGCTAGAATCTCAATTTATACAAAGACTAACATTTTCTATTCTGTTTTATATACATATAACGAAATTTTGAATGATTATCGATTTTAGTAGGCATTAGAAATTCTAGGAATCCAAGGAAGCTTTTTTATTTATATAAACCGTCTATAAAAGGATTAGAATACAATTTAAAAAAAACAACTTAGATAAAATAGATAATTGTTGATTTTTTTACACTGTCGCGTCGGTTGTGGTAGAAAGTAATTTTAATTCATTGTTAATACCATTTGTGTATATTCTGTTTTGTTATTCAAAATTTGCATTAATATAAAAAATATATTCCGGGTGCGTCTCAAAAGTGGCTCACCCCTATAATTTTTTATTTTTTGAGATAAAATGTAGTAATGGGATCACTTGAGCGAAATTTCGTTCGAGTACTCGATTATTGAAATAACCGACATCGCTCGATTATGAACGAGCGATGCAAGTGACGGGTACCAAGCGACGAAAGCAAGTGATCCTAGAATGAAATAAATTGAAATCCGATTTTAATGTGACATACTCGATAAAAAGCCGAGCGAATTTTCTACATACATCGCAAGTAGCAAATTTATACGACGCCGTATATATATTTATCCGTTGCGTATCTAAGAGACAAAATTTTACGACCTACATCGACAATGCTTTGAAATAAACTAAATCAAGCGATCAAGCGAATCGCTCGTCATTTGCTACTTGCCATTCATCACCGAAAGAATCTGTACCCTGCGCACGCAACTTACTGCTTGGCGCTTGGCGTTAACGAGTACTTACAACAAGCGGCGGACGAAAAACCGTATTTTTAAATACGAGCGATATTTCGCTCCAGTGATCGCTCGGTTATTGCAATCGCTTGATACTCGAGTACTCGATTATTGAAATTAATTGATTTTTCCCATCACTAATAAATAGAGATAGGGTATGTTAGTAATAGACATAAATTAGGATTGATTGACGCATTCAATTGTTTTCGATCACTTCCGGTTTTACCGAAAATGACTACAACTTTTGATTTTTAAATAGCACCATCGGTATTTTTTTAAATTTTATTCGATAGAAAATGACACTCTGAATAAATTGACATATCATACGTCAACTTTTGACATTCTCGCTTTAAAAAAATCCTATTTTAAATTTCAATCTAGAGTCCCATGACTGTTAAAATACTAATTTTTAATCAAGGCGCCTTGGAAAATAGATTTGATCGTCTATTGTTTTTAGTGTCTTGTTCTGGCCAGTTATAAAAGATGCTCGAATCGTATTTTTAATCATATCTCATTTTTTTCAAATGGAGGCTCGAGGGTGGCTCATTAGCATATTTGGAAAAGGCATTTTTTATGAGTATTTTGGTACCACACACTTGATATTTCGAGTCAAATTGTCGTTAAGAACCGCATGTTACAATCATAAATAAACCGTATCCGAAATGTCAAAAGATGACATATGATATGTCATTTTATTCTGAGTGTCATTTTCGATCGAATAAAGTAAAAAATACCAAGGGTGCCATTTAAAAATCATAAGTTGTAGTCATTTCCGGTGAAACAGGAAGTGACCAAAAACAATTGAATACGTCAATCAATCCTAATTTATGTCATATACTAACACACCAAATCTCGATTTTTTATCTGAAAAAAAAAGTTATAGGGGTGAGTCACTTTTGAGAGGCACTCGGTATATTATTGTTCTGTACACATTTTTAGTCATCTATAATGTTTTGGTTCTTGTGTTCGATTCTTTTTTTATAATTCACCGGTCATTTCACAGCTTAGCTAAAATCACTTTATAATATATACCTACATTTTTGAGAACCTTCAAATTAAAATATACATTTTTTAGTGCCCAAAGCAGCACCTGTGAGGACTCCAGCTAGAGCAGTACCCAATAGAAATGCGGGAGATTTATCTGGTAAAATAGAAGACTTAACGAATCAAATATCAGAATATAAGGTGGTATTTTTCTTGGTTTTATAATGTTGCAGACTGAGATTTCTGTTTATATTTTAGCTGACTGTTGAAGGTCTTGAAAAAGAACGAGATTTTTACTTCGGCAAGCTTCGCGATATTGAAGTTATGTGTCAGGAATCCGAAGACAACAATCCAATAATACAGAGAATTTTAGACGTGTTATATGCCACAGAGGAAGGATTCGCACCTCCTGAAGAACTGGAAGGCGCCGCCGAAGAAGATGAATATTAGTGAAATAGTTAAAAAGAATTATTTGCAGTTTTCGTTAAAAAAAAGGCAAACAATATGGTTTACTCATTTAAGTTATTATGAAGCTATGTTAAAAAATTTTTAGCAACATACTCTCATATTTTTTATATATATTCAGTTAAGTTTATCGGATATAGGTTTATAAGAGTGTTGTTGCTTTGTATATTCAGACTTCTACTGCTGTTGTTCTTGTAGTAATTGAAAAAAAAATGCTTTTCACTATATCTGCACTGAGAACGTTGCATATTATGGTTGATATATATGATATATAGATCTAAAAAAAGAAAAAAACAGCAAAATTTCTCATTTGTATATGTAAAATTCAAGTGGTGTCGTCTAATTTTTTATAATATTCTTTTTTACTATGTTTCAAGTTCAATAAATTATCGTAAATAAATTTTTAAATTCTGAATTTGTCTTATTTAAGAATAGCTCTCTGAAGTTCTCACGATATTTTCGTGTTTTTTTTTAATTATCTCTAAACTGCTTGGAATGAAGGTATGTATATGAAGGTATGTATGTGAGTGAATGGTTTTTTTTATGAAGAATGCATTTTTCTCACAATAAAAATAATAAAAAAGTTTTTTCTCTTGTAAAAACAATCCGGGGACATACTGTATATACAGGGTGGTCCGAATTGTACTTCGGAAACTTCGACAGCATATTCTGCAGATAAAAATAAGTAAAAAAGTTCGTATAAATGTATGTTCTAAAATGCTTAGTTTCGGACATACAGGGTGTAGAAGTTTCATTTTTATTTTAATTTATTTTAAATAATTCCTGAAGTAACGTCAATAATGGGATGAAAATTGGTATTTGGGAGTTTTTTGACATGAGAAATTTGATTTTTATGATTAATTTAAAAAAATAAAGTTCCCAAATTTATTATTTTAATCAAGTAACTATCTACTCAACGTGTTTATTTTTTGTCAATAATGACATGTATTGACTATTTTCATTCCAAATATCTTGAGAACGGTTGCTCGTAGCGATTTTTACCAAGAGACATTTTTTACGCAAAAAGTCATGGAAATGTACTCCATAGTTTTATACAGGTACGGACGAAAAGTTATTACACTTCAAAACAGTTTAAACACATGTAGGTGGCGCCCTCTACAAGTAGGAGCCATATTGACATCAGAATCAAATTTCCCATGTCAAAAAACTTCCAGACACCAATTTTCATCCAAATATTGACGTTACATCATAAATTATTTGGAAAAAACCAAAATAAAATAGTTTACCGTTCTTGTGTCTGGCACATACACATTCTTGTGTCTGGCACATACACATCAACTTTGTGCGTATTTAAATCAAACATACCCGCACAGATGGATGGCCGACTTGGTCCAATTTTATGCCCCCCAGGTCTCAAGACCTGAACCCCCTAGATTTTTTTTACTGGGGTTGCATAAAAGAAAAGGTTTATGCTAGACCAATAAGTAATATTGTTGAATTACGTCAGCGAATAGTTATTCGCAGCCCAAGAATTAAACTTGGCAAGAAATGCAAGATGGATGGCCTTTTTAAAGATGCCGCGCCTGGATTGCGCGCCATATTGTTTGATTTTTTTCTTAAGTTAAATAGTAGATTTTTTTCAACATTTTAATATTTTTTAATTTTTTAAAATGTTCTCATAAGGTTTAATTAGGTATATCCTTCACTGTAATAAACTGTTTATTAGAACAATCAATGGGTTAGTTTTTAAAAGTACATTAAATGAGCAAACTTTTCAAACCACTAGCCAGGTAAGTGTAGACTTTTTTTGTACAGTATGAGGTGTCAAACTTGAGTGATGGAAAATAAAAATAAATTATTTCACTGTGAAATAAGATTTTTTATTGAAAATTTTGAACTTTTATTTCTTGGTCTTTGATTGTTAAATGAAATGTCTATTCACAGTTACAGAATCTAAGAATTATAATTTTTTTAGGAGTGACACCTGAAAATCCAAGGGGACGATTTTAACAAATTTTATTAAAGTCGCAATATCTCGAAAACCATATTTTTTACTAAGGTCATATCCCTATTCTCTTGGTCATATGTTTATCTGGATGCTTATGAGTTAGTCCATCACCCCTTTCAGTATTATCGTTGAATTTCCGGACACCCACTACAATATTAATTTATGATAAAGTTAACTAAATAAGTTGCTAAATAAGTTGTTTTTTTGGTTGCAACTAAAGAAAGGGCAAGGAGCGTCAGCAATGATGCGACTACATAGCTTCAAGAACAGCAACTCCATGCTGTTCTTGAAATATTAAATATTAAAATAATAATAAAAATTTAAATAATAAATATTGAAAAAGGACTGGAAAGGACTAAAGACTCATTAAAAAACTATATACCACAGATAACACATAATCTGATTATGTGTTATCTGTGTATATACTTGTTTTCTACTCAGAATAATTTGAAAATAATTAGCAGTTTGGCAACATCGAGGATCTGGGTATGCGTCATTTTTGTGAGCAAGTGCAGCAAATAGATTCTTCATTGTTGGTTATTGGCTATGGTTATTGGTCAACCACTAAGCTTTTAGCAAACTTTAGCCTTTGTAGGGGCGGATTTTGGTAAAGGCAAGAACCATAGACTTAAAATAAAATATAGACTGAGCATCTCATTCATAAATAGCTGGAACATGCGGTCAGACCAGAGATATGGTGGGAGAATGAAGTGGGAGAATGAGCTTCGACGAGTTAAAATTAGTCGAAACGTCAATCATTAAACAAAATGTAAACACAAGTTTCGTTTTATTCACTACTGACTTAAAACCAAGATTTTAAAAACTTAAAATATAATAAAAAAGTCAAAGAAAATTGAAAAAATAAAAAATATAAATAGTTTTTATAGTACCGTATTATCGAAAAGGAACGGCATCAGCGATGACCATGAAATGAAGGTCGGTGCCATTTTATATGTAAATTATAATATAGGAAATGTCATCAATCGTCATTTCCCATCCAACTGGACGCCATTTTTTTTATCATACGGTAGATATATGTACAAATATTTGATTCAAACATAAATATTATTTTCTCTATTTGTACCATTTACGGAGCGATCAACATAGTAACATAGGATGACTATTTATCAGCTATTATTACTAACTCCAAAACAAAACAAAAATTAAATAATATGATAAGTTTTTTGACGATATTTAAATTCGATTTTCAAAATAATGTGAGATAATCAAAACTAGATGAGAAATAAATGAGTTTAATCGGAAGGTTTTCTAATTCAGTTATTGAATAAGTGTAGTAAACAATATATGTTACGTGCTTGTAAGAAATGTTTATCAGAAACCGCATATTAAGTATGATATGGTCTCGTACACTTTCGATTAATAATTCATCGGACATGTTTAATGTAAAACCGTTCCACTAAAAACAGTCGCTCGGCGTAGACTATTCGCCCCACAAAACACATACACAAGGAGAAGTGCGAGCGCCTTGCTAAATATTGGAAAGTGAAATTGACGTTTAAATTTGACACTGTTGACAAGTCTACTGCTACTAGCGCCCCCAATATCGCTTGTAGGAACTACGGACTAGATTGTTACGCATGGCGGGAAGTTTAAAAAAATAAAAAAATTTAATTCTTCATTTATTTTTAATTATGACATAGATAAAAACACAAAAAATACACCATTTTTTAAAAATATGTTTAATATCAATATCAAATATACAACAGAAATTAATTTCACCACAATAAATTAATAAAATTAAAAAATAATGTTACAAGTAGATCAAGAGACAAAATTATAACAAAACTGAAAAAAATGGCGTCATAGATGGCTTAGAAATGACGATATATATCATAATTTTGAAAGTAAAATTATATAGGAAATGTCATCGATCATCATTTTGAAGCCAACTGGACGATTATTTCAAACATACAAGCTGAGTTCGTTCATAGTGCTCTGAGAAATCTAGACAAACAAAGAATAATAAATTAAAAGTATTCCAGGGAAAAAGAGAGGAAAAACCTGTATCGTCTCTGATATCTGTCAGGGTTTTGTTGAAAGTGTCATCTTTTTGCTCGAAGTTTTCAGGTCGATTAAAAAGATGACATTTACAACAATACTTTGCCGTAACTTTCACAAATATCAGAGAGAGAGTACAGGTATTGCCTCTCTTTTCCTCTGGGATGCTTTATATCTGTTCTTCTTTGTTTACCTATATTTCTAAGAGCATAATGCCAAACACGACTACAGTATATAATAATTTCAATATCCTAAGTGGAAAGAAAAAAGATCACCTTTCTGTTTTGTACTATGGTCCCTTTCTTCCGATGGCTCATCTCGTTGATATTTAGGAAGGTATCCATAAAATATATATTTTATTATCGGTCCTGGGATGAAAAAATATAAAATTCAATTTCATTTGATGATCCTTTTCTGTCACCTAAATCAGGAGAATGACAATGAGCATGTTAAGATGAAAAAAAACTTATTTATCAACACTTACCTACACGTTAGTCCAAGGAGTTTTATCAAAAACCTATATTTGCCTAAATAATTTATGTATTCAATTTACAAAGCAAACTGCAGCGTGTAAACAAAAGAAATAAAATGGCGACAAGTCAACGTCAACGACCCGACAAGGAGAAAAGTGGTGTTCGAATAACAATTTATGGGTTGCAAAAATTGTTTTTGTCTCCTTTCAACGCACACTTTAGAAAGAAAAAGAGATGAACAGTTATACTGAAAGAATGTCAAGGTTTTATCTGTCACTCTTGTCAATAATTTATCGGTAAGGAAGATTCCTAGAAAATCGCTTGTAGTCAAGTTTTCAACCATTTCCAGTTCTCCCATAAGAAGTGTCATCCACCTGATTCGCCCTCTCCCATGCATTCTCTGATTTCGCCAGATGGCGCGAGTAACGCCGATAGCTCGAAGCGCACCGAGCGCACCGATCTGATGCGGTGCGCGGGCTTAAGGAGGGCGCGCACTGCATCGGATCGGACCGACCAGCAAAAGCGACTGCGACCATCGTACATATAGACGGCGCCGGCGCCCACTAAAACATTTCGGCCTGTAGAGGCCAGATTCCTACCTCTACCTATCTACGATAGTCGAGTCACCGCCTTCGCCGTTTCTCGCCGGACTGGTACCGATTCAGTGCGCGTACACCCTTAGGCTCCGCGCACACTGCATCGGATCGGACCCATATACGTATTACTTTTTACAAATATACTCAGCCTAATCTCCAAAAAGTGAAGCCCAAACAGTGAAAGAACAATATGGAATTCTGCATAAGTCTATTTCACCCGCATATTCATTTAACTGAGCATGCCTCACCTGAAGAAGTTTTCATTGGTCGATGTTTTTAAAGGGAAGTGGTTGACTGACATTTACCCTAACCTTTAATTTTATTTATATTTTTATTATTCATAACACATTATCATGGG